TTGCAATATATGAGACTTCTGGGAAAAACTTGTGATTTCCCAAAAAAATCATCATTAAACTCGCAGATGTAGTGGCCATCGATTGAACCACAAGGTGTACCGTCGATCGATGTCTTCTATAAAATCTGACTCCGATTTGAGTGTCAGGACAAAATTCTTCAATGCTCTATATGATCCAAAAGTTCCAATTTCTGCCAACGAGTACCTGAACCTGTAAAGACTCTAAAATAACTTGAAATGCGTATAATGCACTATAAAAACGTATGTATATCATGGATAAAAATAGGTAAAATCCATGACATATTAACTCCCCCAGACTTACTCTTTTGTTTGTCCTCAAGCAAAGAATATCACTATTTGGAAAATGGTTTTAAAGCATGGGGACTCACCGAATCTCAAACTAATCACTATCACTTCTTCCATATAACAACAACATCATCCAAGTGTCTAACTCAGAGAAACTCTATCTACCTTATCCTAGTATAGCAACTAAATCCAATTTACCAACAACTTAGCAGATACTAATTTGAATCACCCCTCTACTAACCTCATTTCTTGCATAACAATAAAAGTGCAAACTTTACCTTGGGAGTATCGATCAAAGGATATGTGGACTCTTACCCCTGCAAGTATCTGAACATACATGCAGTCTTCTCTGATCTATTTATTCTCCCTTTTTCCCTCTTATCTGAATATTTTTGGATCTCAAACTTAATAGAAAATGATGCTGTTACAGTCCATCTTGCCATCTCATGTTCAATTTTTTTTTTAAATGAAAAAGTGTAGGCAAATAATGGGGTCATCCCCTTGCTTCCAGCGATGTGTGATCATTCCATTAGAGTAGAATATTGGGGTCGTGGGAGACGCTCCTACCAGTCTAAACCTCAGGAAATCATTTCAATATTTTATTTGTAGATGCCGAAGAGAGGGAGAGAGAAGGGAATCAGAAGCACACAACTTTACCTTCCAGACTTGCAGAAGGAGTGCGATCCAGTGTATACCAAGCCCCAAGACAAGTAGATAAGTCAGGTTAAGGTTGGAGGTCAGCTTTGGTTCTTTCAAACTGTCTAAGTAAGTGTGATCTAATAGCGGGATGATCCAATTTGGTATCTTTAGAATTCTCTATACTCTCAACCAAAAAAAGATCTAGAATAGTGTTATAATAAGTAGAGATTAACAAAAATGATCATAGTCGCCTTCTTGAATAGATAAAATTTTGAAAAATTCATAGATATAATAGATAGAAATCTCAAAGCAAAAATAAAAATGAAAAGCATTAGCAAACCTCCCCCAGACTTAGATAATACTGTCACAATGTTATAATACGCCGAGTTTGGCAGTACTTGATTGTCGGGTACAAAATGCCTAGAAATGATTTCTTATCGTGATAGGCTTTTGTTCTCTCCTTGTATAACTTAGAGTTCTCATAGTCGTGGTCCCTAATCTCTATAGCTCGTTTAATTGGATTAATTTCCTTTCTGCAGTGTGTTTAGGATCAAAGTTTGTTGCTTTGATTGCCCAAGCTGCTTTGTGTTCTAATTCTACAGGGAGATGGAACACGTTTCCATAAAGTAAGGGAAACGGGGTAGTTCCTGATGGTGTCTTAAATGCTAATCGATAAGCCGAAAGTGCATCATCCAATTTTAAAGACCAATCTTTACGGGTTGATCCTACCGTCTTTTCTAATATTTCTTTAATCTGACGGTTGGATACTTCTAGTTGTCTGCTTGTTTGAGGATGATAAGGAGTAGCTACTCAATGGTGGACTCCATTTTCCTTGTGTAGTCTATCAAACACTCTGTTGATAAAGTGGGTACTTCCATCGCTTATTACAATACGTGGAACTCCAAATCTAGGAAATATAATACTTTTGAAAATTTTGACGACTACAGCAGCGTCGTTTTTCGAAGTTGTTGCTTCAACCCATTTGGATACATAGTCTACATAAACCAAGATGTATGTGTTTTCGTGCGAAGAAAGGAAAGGGCCCATAAAGTCGAGGCCCCGGCAATCAAACACTTCTACTTCAAGTATGAAACTTTGTTCCATTTCGTGTCTCTTGCTAATTTTTTCCTCTTCTTTGGCATGAGTCGGATTTTGCTATATAAGCTTGAGCGTTTTTAAACATAGCCGGCCATCAGAAACCAGCTTCTAGCATCATAGAAATTGTCTTGAATCTGGCGAAGTGCCCAGCAAAATAAGATATGTGACAATGATATAGGATGTTTGGGGTTTTGCTTTCAGCAACACATCGTCTGTATATGCCGTCAAAACAATGTTAATAAAGGTTGGGTTCATCCCAATAATATCTCCATATTTCTCTCAGAAACTTCTTTTTGTGATACCCTTTAAAGAGTCCTTGTTCTACGTTAGCTGCAAGGTAGTTTACTATGTCTGCATACCAAGGTCTATCAGTGGAGTTGCGTATAACGAACACACCCTCTGATTCAAACTTCTACCTCCAGGAGAATTGCTATCCAAGAACGTAGGGTCATATTTGACACAAATGTCTATTGGAATAATAACTTCGTTGTCTTCTGCATAACGAGTGTCGATCGATCGGCCTATTTCACCGTCGATTGATTCTGCCTCGGATGACGTACGAACGTTTCCAATAAAGGTTGATTCCGTTTGGTAAACATCTTCTGTAGGTAATAAATCGTTTATAGGGATGTCATCGTCAACTCTTATTTGGGATAAGTGATCTGCAACTCCGTTTTCTACTCTTTTCTTGTCCTTGACTTCTATGTCAGTTTTTTGTAATAAGAGAAGCCATCTTAAAAGCCTAGGTTTTGTGTCCTTTTTGTTTATTAGGTATTTTAGGGCTGTGTGGTCAGTGTGAATGATTACCTTTGAACTGACTAGGTAGGAGAGAAATTTTGCGAAAGTGAAAACAACAGCTAGTATTTCTTTTTCTGTAGCTGCAAATTTACGTTGCATCATCAAGGGTCCTACTAGCGTAGTATATAGCATGCACCTTTTTGTCCTTTTTCTGCCAAGTATTGTGCCTACAGTGAAATCGCTGGCATCACACATTATTTCAAAAGGAAAATTCCAGTATGGTGCTTGCACAATGAGGGCATATATTAGGGCTGACTTGATTTCTTTGAAAGCTGTTAGACATTCAGGTGTGAGGACAGACACAAGAGTGATTTTTGAGCCTTTGATCCAAATCAATCAATGGTTCATAAAAAACAACAATACATATTGTCCTTTTATTTATCTTTAACTATTATAAAAATGATCTGAGCTTTAAATACTTTGATATTATAATTTAAAATTTGAAATATAAATTTTGTATTTGAAATTTGATTTTTTTATGGAATTACATTTTATTTAAAAGTTAAGATTTAATGTTTTATGATACATGTTAAAATGAGATATGTGGTTTAGAGGTTATAGTTAATATTTAGGATTAAGTATATGATTTGGGTTTTAAAATATACTTGGAGTTTAAATTAAAGTTTCTTTCATAAGTTTGTAAAAATTAGATTTATGATTTTTTATCTACGAGTTTAACTTCGGGGTATATGGTATTAGATATAGGGGGTAGACTTAAGATTTAATGTTTGAGTTATAAATTTAAATTTGAGATTAGATTTTTAAAATGATTAAAGTTTGAGTTTTTTTCTTGATATATCGTGTCATCACATATTTGATTATCAATAATTTTTTGTCCAAGAATTATACAAGATTTTTTTTCACGAAACAACACTTACCATAAACATATTTGAAAACTCAAACCACATCGATTCAATTATTTAATAAAAAGCTTAAATCAAATCAAAACATTAAAGGTGAAAAAAGCATATAAGCCAAGAATGCTTCAAGTTACAGCTCTCACATACGTAAATATAAGCTACATGAAAACCTCCGCACCACGAAGCTCGCATCTCCACCGCACGGCCACGCCTTGCCTCCTCTGTCTTCAAGATTAATATTTTCTGATTGTGGAAAAGGGAAACCCTGCATCTGGTTGACCTCTCAGAGTATACATACAATTTTAAAAGCATATTCTTTTGTTCGTCTCAAATCAAAAGAGTACAAAAAGCATCATCAAGCTTCCAAGCATTACACATGAGAAAACAAAAGAATTTAGAGTTTAAGACAAACATCTTTACATGTCTGTGAGAGCAGAGATAGCACAGGTACAAACAGGTGTATTTGAGGGACTCACCCTCTGATCAAACCATCAAAAACACATCAACGTTCGGATTCATAACCAAGTAAAACAAAATGTTTAAGAAAAATTGTTTGTTTTTGGGGACCTTATCTGTAAAAGCCAAGAAGTACGCCACTGCAATTGAGAATAGCCTTAAAGAAGAGTGTTATGTCCGTTTGAGTGACCTGTAAACTCATCAAGTTAGCTACTTTATGTTTCATTATAGAGCTGTGAAGGAAACAAAATCTTAGAGAATCACCTTATTGTCGATGTTAGTGTAGTAGATAGTTCTCGCACGCATCTCATGCTCATCTTCAGCCTGAGAACTAAAAACAGGACTAGTCTTAACTCTTGAGTCTAAGAAGCACATAACTTTCCACTCAGAATGTGATGAAACAGTCAACAACCTAAACAAGTAAAACCAGTCATGACAAAGAACACAACGTTAGATTCAGATGCAATCAATGTCTCCCTAGATATACACACACACACACACACACATCTTTTACAACACACAAGTAAGGACTTTTAACTTAAAAGATAAAACATTTAAGAATCAGTCAACTTGATCCCCCAATGTTGTTCTGGATCTTCTGTAAACAAGCTCCAGCCTTCACCAAATCTTACAAAACTCGTCAAAGCTCGATTTCTCCCGAGAGGAAGTGATAGAAACGAGAATAGAGCTCAATAAAATTCAATCGTTACAGTTCAGAAGTAGAATACAACGTCTTGCATCATTCTCATCAGACCCTCCCAGACCAATCTTAATGTACAATTCAATTTCAATACCCGCATTAGAACAAAGAACATAATCAGAAATATACCCTTTTGCGGACCGATGGAACGTGGGGAAGTGAAGAAGAATATGGGTAAGGAATCCAATTCATGGCTTAAGCGCTTGAAGCAGTCGTGCTTGGATCCCATTCCCAAACTTACTCCGTAAACTTACCTTACAATTTGAATACAATAATCAATTCATCTAGTGTTCCACCGAGGGAGAGAGAGGCGGAGGAAGTTTTACCCATCTCTGTTGAGAGGAAGAAATGAGTTGGAAAGAGGAAGAAATGAGTTGGAAAGAGAAAAAAATTCCAAAAACAAGGAAACAACGGCTAATTTTTTTTTATTTTCCCGCAACAAAAAATATAGCACTTTAAATTAAAAACGCTATTAAAAATATAAGTGTTGGTATATAATAGCAGAATTTTCATGGCGACTTTCTGGGCGATTTGTAATAACCGTTTTTGTTCGAATTTTCCAATCTCCTGTCCGATCCTTTCCCCCTGTTTTCGGGTAACCGGTGTCGGTTTCACTCCAGTGTGCACGTTCTCTGGTGGTTTCATTTTGTGGTTCTCTCTAGCCTACGATTTTTCTTTCAAGAAACCGCCATGGCCGAATCTGTATTTAATAATTGGAGTATCTGCATTTGTTTATCTCTATTCCTCTCCAATTTTTACGATGGGTGATAAACTCCGAAAAAGATGCAGAAGATTACTCTTGGTGTAGATGACGAACCAGTGGCTCTTCCGCCGTCAATGTGTATTCAGGCCGCCACAACAAACCAATTCTCCTTGGTCGTAATTCCGGTGGATCCTAAGAAGCAAAAGCTTCGTGTAGTGATTAATCAATTACCACGTCTCTGGAGGTGAAAGTGGTTGGTCGTATCATTGACATGAATCATCTCCAGTTTATTTTCCAGTCGGAGGAAGCTTTACTGATGGTCACTCGACGTGCTACTTGGCCTTTTGCTGAGTGGATGTTATCCGTTCATCGGTGGTTCCCAAACATCGAGGATGAGGAACTCAAAATCATTCATTTTCAATTCCTTACTAAACCGATGATTGAATATAATGGTGGAATTCTAGCACCTGTTTTCGATGTGGATTTTGACGAAAACTCAACAAGGGTAGAATTTGTCAGGGTCCAATTGTTATGGAAAGTGGACCAACCTCTCAGTTTTCAGCGTCACTTCCAATTCTCCGAGAATGTCAATACCCTTCTCTCCTTCGAGTATGAGCGTCTTCGCAACTTTTGCCAGACTTGTGGGCTCTTAACTCACGAGAAGCAGGAATTCCCTTTGGGTTATGATGCCGATGACCAACCCCCTGGTAATTCTGATTATGATGATAGTGATCACTCAGGGGTGACGATGATGATGGAAATCGATTGGAGGTGATTCCATCTACTGAATTCGCTCCTAGGGTGCTTACGAAGATCAATGATAAGAGCCCTGTGGTTGAAGATACTGATGGTAGTTCCACTAAGCCAGAGAACCAAGGTGGTAGTAAGAGGAAGAGACAAGAGTCCAGGGAGTTTCAACATGAAGACATGGAGATTGTGGACATGGGAGAAGAACTTCCAGAGGGATTTTGGAGCAAAGCGCCTTTTAATGAGGTTCATGCTGAGTTTAAGACAGGTATGGGTATGGTTCGTACGGCAAGGAAGTACTCTTTTGTTGAGGAATTGTTGGAACAGATATCTTCTCCGGTTGTTAGTGATGGCCACAAGTACTTCATGGATGTTGCAGAAGATGATGAAAGTGACCATATTATTCTGGAAATGGAGGAGCATCGTGGGGCTGGCTCGGTCTTTGAGTACTTTCGTTGTTCTCGAAGTAATTCAAGGATGGATACTGCGAAGATTGATTCACAGGAAGAAACTATGGTGCATAGGATGGACTGGAAGAAGTTTTGTTCTGAAACGGTGGTGAATGATAAGTTTGTGATCGATGCTGAGGTTTTGAACCGAGAGTTTGAGGCTCTTCACAAGATACAGGTCGACTATGAGAATGCTGATTCTCAGATGACAGCTAACAACCCAATTGACAGAGGCGCGGTGGACCCGGTACCACCACAAGTTCCATGAGAGTAGAGGTGTGGAACTGTCGAGGCTTAGGACAACGCCTGATAGTTCGACGTCTAAAAGAGATACAAAGGTTGTATCATCCTGAGTTGTTGTTCTTGATCGAGACTAAGCAAGATAATGATTATGTCAGAGATATAGAAGTGTCTCTTGGGTATGATCATATGATTTTAGTCCCTCCGATAGGCTATAGTGGGGGTTTGGCTGTACTTTGGAAGTCCTTTGTTTTTGTAATTTGCATTTCCAGTGATGAAAGACTTGTAGATCTTCATATTGAATATCAATGTTTTAAGTTCTACTTGTCGTGTGTGTATGGACATCCAATTCCTAAATACATACATGTTTTATGGGAAAGACTCCAAAGACCAGCAACTACTAGAATGGGACCATGGTTGGTGTGTGGTGATTGTAATGAAATAACAAAACCAGAGGAAAAGAAAGGTGGGCGAGTTCGACAGCCATCAAGCTTTCAGAACTTTAATACAATGCTTCAAGTTTGTGATCTAAAGGACCTCCGACACCAAGGAAATCAGTTTAGCTGGGTAGGCCATAGAAGGAATGATGTCATTGAATGCTGTTTGGACATGGTAATGACTAATCCGACGTGGTTGAATCATTTTCCTCATTCATATACGGATTATTTAGAAATTTCAGAATCTGATCACAGACCTATGATCATAAATATTGAGTATAAACATCAAAGGAGGAAAGGTGTCTTCTGTATGATAAGAGATTGGTTGCTAATCAACACCTCGTGGAGACAGTTACGAATGCTTGGGATCAAACAGAATACGTTAGAGGATGAAATCAGAGACTTGGCCATTGCCGTACTGAGATTATAAGTTGGAAACGAAGTCATCATACCAATTCTGCTGCTCAAATATCTGAAATAAGAGCTATGTTGGATTATGCAATCCGTGATAGGACAGTTTCAGCTGAGTATATTCAGGATCTTTGTGGTAACCTGAATAAGGCTTACAGAGAAGAGAAGGGGTATTGGAAACTTAAAAGTAGGAACAAATGGTTGAATCTCGGTGACCGCAACACCCCATTATATCATGGGATTACAAAGATGAAGAAGAAGAAAAATAAAATTACAAAGCTAAGTGATAAGCTTTGGGCTCTGGGTGTCTGTAAATTACTAAGCAAACGTCTTCGATAGAAGGTGAAGCAAGAAGTTTTCTTATGGCATTACATTATATGTGGTTAAGAGGATAGCGTCAAGTATGGTTCGAAAGTGATAATCAGGAGTTATGTGATACAATCAATAATGTGAAAAACCATGTGGGGATCGGGAACTTTCTCTGTGATATTCGACATTGGATGTCTAAATTACCGGAATGTTCTTTGGGTTATGTGAATCGTGAAAGGAATCAAGCCGCTGATGTCCTAGCTAAACATGCAAATGATTTTGCTGCTTCGTCTATCTATTTTCATAGTCCTCCTCCATGGATAATAAACCTTTTGTATCATCCTTTTACAATCTAATAAAATGAACTTTTGTGGTTAAAAAAAAAATAGCAGAATTTTCATAAACGTTATAATCCAATGCTATTAATACCTATATTTCATGTAGTGAATAAACTGTAAAGATTATGTATATAAAAGATAAGGAGTTCAAAATCTTCTCTATAAGGTTGATCAGATCTCTCACTCCAAATGGTCCAAGACGCCTCTCTTAGTGTAATAGAATATGAAAGCTTAGGTTTTACAAAATGATAGAATACTAATAAATAACTACTAGTGCAGCCAGAGACTTGTCTTGCAATATAGAAGACTTCTGGGCAAACTTGTAATTTTTCAAAATCAAAATGATAGAAACCTAATAAATAACTTCTAGTGTAGCCAGCGACTTGTCTTGCAATATAGAAGACTTGTGGGCAAACTTGTAATTTTCCAAAATCATCATTAAACTCGCGGATGTAGTGGCCGTCGATCAAACCACAAGGTGTACCGTCGATCGATGTCTTCTATAAAATTGGACTCCAACTTGGGTTTTGACGACAACATTATTCGATGCTCTAAAATGATTCAAAAGCTCCAATTGCTTCTAACGAGTAACTGAACTTGTAAAGACTCTAAAAAAAGTCGAAATACATATAATGCACTATAAAAAACGTTTATATATCATGGGTAAAAATAGTTAAAATTCATGACATATCAGTAATCTGAAAACATCTTTGTAAGACACCTGCGTATCGATGTCGGGAGCTGTATTTCAGAGATACAATCATGTTTCTTGTTGTCTTGTGAATGAATTTCTGGAGCTGTTACATAGTTTCAGATGATGTCTCCTTGCATTCCTCTCTCTCCATATATGATAGACTGTCATTTGGAAGGCTATATTAATAAAACAGCATCAAGATAATGAAATCTGGTTCCTTTACAGATTGCACTCGTGAGCTGCCAATCTCGGGTTGCACTCGTACATAATAGACTTCACAGAAAAAATTCTCATACAGTGAACGAATAAGGGCAATAAAAAAATAGGTGATCCCTTGTCTAATCGTTCTCTCCACACATCACACAGTCCTGAGTTATACACCAAGTTCTCATCATATCCCCTGTAGAAAATCGGTTCTTCACAGCTAACCAATTAATAAAAGCAAATTGTGGCGTACCCTGCAAAAACCAGACTGCACTGCACTAATCTTATTTATCTCTTTTAGGACGAATTTTCTCCCAAGTCTTAGTAGCAGAAAAACTCTTTCGATAATTATCGTCATCATGCTTCCAAAGTACAACGTTACTTCCTTGAGTCATGTGAAGATTACGCTTTCCTAGTTTTTTTTGTTCATTCACTTCTGCATTATGTTCACAATTGTGAATACCATATGCTTTGTAATTTGCATATTTTGAATTACTTGACGGTCAATCCATATGGCGCATACCTATTTGTTATGAGAGAGTTTTTTTCTGAAAATATTTCCAATTTAACTATAAACATAATATGTCAAATAAATTGACATATATGAAGTCTTTATTTCACGCATTAAAAACACACAGATTTTGACTATTAAAGTTCATATAGTTATTCATTTCAAAGTTCTTTACACATATGCTCTTAACTTTGATTTCTACATATGGAAACTAAAAACTCTATGAAAGTATTCAACTCACTAGGTTTGTATAGTGGTTTATTAGGTATGGAAAAAATATTCACATGAAGACGATCCAAATGGATGACTATTTCAAATTAGGGTTGTCGTCTCACTAGTTCTATTCGTATAATAAAAAAATTTCATGATTATTGAACGCAAATTTTATCCTTAGATTTATATTTATTCAAAATAAAATATTTTGTAATCATTTAGACACAATGTTTATATTCAGACATATCCATATGGCCACGATCGTTATATTGAATTTAGATTTATCGTATAAGATTTATCCTAAAATATTATGAAGTCAATTGTATACGATGTTGCATCTGGAAGTGTTTTAAATCTCTGTCAACCAGTAAAAGTCCAGCATTCGTTGAACCGAACGCTGTATTCCTAAAGGGGAAAAAAACTGGGTTTTTTTTAGGCTGCTATCAGTATGGGTCAAGGGATTGTAAAGTTATTCATTCACAAAATAATATACAAACCCTAAACCGGTATTTGCCTCAATATTGTTTGCTTTGCTTTCTTCGTGTTTTGCTTTGCGTTTGTTCATAACAAGTGGTAAATGAGACAGGTTCTGAAACCCTAAAGGATGACCAGAGGAAGTTCTATTAAGTTCAATGTTCCTAGATTCGATGGAAAATGTAACTTTGGCCTCCGGCCACAACGAGTTAAAGATTTTATTACATGTACAGCAAGGGACGAAGAGGGCTCTATAGGAGTCAAAACCGGAAGTTGTTAGTCAAGATGATTGGGATGAGATTCAGGATCAGGCTGTCTCAACAATTCGACTTTGTTTGTCGGATGACATAACATATCAGGTGATGGACCTCACAACTTACAAACAGATGTGGGATAAGTTGGAAAAGATGTATATGTCGAAATTGTTGTCTAGCAAACTATACCTCAATAGATGGCGGAGAGCAGAGATATTGATGCGCACGTCAACAATTTTAATCAAATCATCGAGGATCTGGCGCGTATGGATGTAAAAACTGAGTACGAAGACCAAGCCATGATCTTGATGTGTTCTCTGTCTCCTCAATGTGGGATGTTATTGACAACTCTAACAGTTGATAAGGTGACTATAAAACTGCAGATAGTTACTGCTGCATTGCGCTCACATCATGAGAGAAGAAAGAATAGTAGGATAACTGACAACTCTTAAAGTGACGAATTGTATGTCAGTCATGATCAATGAAGGCAGTGGGGGAAGCACTGAGACGGTTCTAACATGAAAAGAAAAAAGTAAAAATTCGGAAAGAAGGTTGTCTTCTATAGATGTGGCAAGCCTGGCCACTATAGACGAAGCTGTCCTTAAAAACGGAAGAACTCGAAGGATGGATCGAGTTTTGCAATGTGGTTCAGAAGAATGAGGATTCAGAGGAATCATGTGATTCTGACATGCTTTCTGTGACATCAAGAGATCACACAAATTCTTGGATATTGGATTTGGGAGCTTCATTCCACATGACCTCTAACAAAGAGTTGTTTTGAACGTATAAAGCTGGAAACAAGGGCTTTATTCGACTTGCGGATAACAAAGTTTGTAACGTTGTGGGCACTGTAAAAGTTATAGTTTCAACTGTATGATGGCACATTCAGGACACTGACTTATGTCATACATATTCCAATCATGAATAAAAATCTAATATCTTTAGGGACACTTCATAAAACCGGCTTTGAATTTAAGTTTGATGATCGAGAGGTGTTGAAGGTATTCAATGGAGCTATGATGGTGATGAAGGGACAAATGAAAGTTGGAAGCGTGTATTGGTTGATAGAGAACATGGTTGTAGGTGGAGTTGCAGCTGCAGTTTCTGAGTCAGAGTGTACAGCTTTGTGGCATATGCGTATGAGCCACATTGGCGAGCACGGATTGAAAGAACTCCTGAGAAGGGGTCTTCTGAACGTTTGAAGGATTGCAAGATGGGTTTTTGAAAGTTCTGTATGATGGGAAAGCATGCCAAAATATGTTTTAAGACGAGGCAACACATGACAAAAGATCTTATTGACTATGTTCATTCTGATGTGTGGGGGCTAACTCGGGAACAGTCATTGGGAGGATCAAGATACTTTGTTTTATTCATTGATGACTTCTCGAGGAATGTTTGGGTGTACTTCTTAAGGCATAAATCTGAAGTGTTAACGAATTTCAAGATTTGGAAGGCTGAAATAAAATATTAAACAAAAAGAAAGTGAAATATTTGAGATCAGATAATGACACAAAGTATACTGATGGTGCGTTTCAGAGGTTCTGCGAGGAGCATGTTATTCAGAGTACTTAACAGTGAGTAAAACATTTCAGCAAAACAATATTAGTGAAAAGATGAACCGTTCGACTGCATAGAAAGAAAGGTGTTTGAGATTGAGTGCATGGTTATATTGTCAAGGAGTTCCTTAGAAGGAAAGGTCGCATAAGAGGTATGGACAGGGATGGATATTGATCTATCAAACTTGATGATAGTTGGATGTCCAGCTTACATGCTAGTTTTGGGAGACGAAATATCGAAGATGGATTCAAAATCCAAGAAATACATTTTCTAGGCTTTGAGAAAGGTGTTGAAGATTTCAAGTTGTGAGATTCCGAGGCTAAGAAGATGGTGTTTAGTTGAGATGTGGTCTTTGATGAGCAGTATATGGTGCAATAGGCAATATCAGACCGAGTGCATGTGATTATTGAGACTAACATGAATTCTGATATAACTCAGGAGGAGTCTGGTGGAGATAAACCAGATGCTATTAGTGATGAGCATACTGCGGAAGAAATGCAGAAAGAAGTTCAACATGGAACATAGGTGATTATGCTAGTAGAAGACCAAAACGTGCAATAAAAGCTCATGTCTGGTTCAGGTTTGAAGACATGGTCAACTTTTCTCTTGTGGTTGAGAGGAATGATCATACCATATATTGGGAAGCTATTAACAATGAGAGAAGAAGGAATGGATTGGGTCTATGACGGAAGAGAATGTAAGTCTTGATATAAATTAGACTTGGGATCTTGTGAGTTACCTGAAGGGAAGAAAGTGATTAGTTGCAAATGCTTCTATAAGAAGAAATAATGGATTACTGAGAAAGAACTAGTGAAGTTCAAATAAAGTCTGGTGGCAAAAGGATATTCACAAAGGAAAGATATAGACTACGACGAGATATTCTCGTCTGTAGTGAGACACACTTTCATACGAGCTGTGTTGGGTTTAGTAGATAGTTGGGATTTGCATCTAAAGTAAATGAATGTAAAAATGGCTTTCCTTCACGGAGACTTGGAGGAGTAAATATGTATAGAGAAACCTGAATGTTTTTTAAGTCTTGAGAAGAGCATCTTGTTTGTAGATGGAAGAATTCTCTCTACGGTTTGAAGCACACTCCAAAACAGTGGTACATGCGTTTTAACTTCTATATGTTGAAGATCGGCTATCATAGTTGAAAATATGATTTCTTCATTTATGTCAAGACCTTTGACGCCCATTCTTCCAAATTCCTATTGTTATATGTTTATGATATGCTCATCTCTGCAAACGATATGGATGATATAAATCATTTGAAAGGGTTACTGGGACATAAGTTTGAGATGAATGATCAT